AAATACTTTAATAAATTAGTGGAACAACTGCCTTGCAGACTGTTTATAAAGCATACGGGAGCCGGGTGGTGCCAAAAATGGACGGAACGACCTTTCTCGAATTTACCGGAAGAGCTGCGGCGAGGGACGTGCGCGCTCCCGCGCCCGGGCACGACGTCGGAAGTCCAGTCGTCCCCATCCGTGTACCGTTTCCGGTAGCACACAGCAGCCACCGTTGAATGAGAGCGGGCTCCGTCGCAGCTGCCTAAAAATGAACACGGTCCTGTCCAGAGCCAACTCGCTGTTCGCGTTTTCCCTGAGCGTCATGGCGGCGCTGACGTTCGGCTGCTTCATCACCACCGCCTTCAAAGACAGACGAGTCCCCGTGGACATCCGCGTCTCCAAAGTTATGCTGTAAGAGCTCCCGTGTGACGTCGCCTAGCTTAACGCTGACATATGTTCCGCTTTTAACGTTTAATTAACGGTACGGGTGCCGCGCAGGGCCAGTACAAAGCCCTGTTTGGGTGGACGTGGCCCCGGGTTCGCGTCCCTGCCCGGTCTGGGCGCTTCGACGGCGTTTTCGGGCCGCTTTTTTGTTCGAGAAGTGGCTTCAGGCTGAGTGTTGAGCCTGGAACAGGAAGGACCTGCGCCTATACGGATGATGGAGGCCTTTTTGTCTCACGAAACCCGTCGAATCGCCGGCTGAAAAAGCGACGGCGCTCACACAACGGACACTTTAACGTTCCTCGACAAACATCGCGATATTTGCCATTTTCGCGAGACTGGGCTGGACACCGTAGAAAAACATTGGGAACCCGTTTCCTCCCACACGAGAAAATCTATACCTATAAAATCTATTTCCTAAAAGCATCTCGATGGGAGCCGTGCACGCTCCTAGCTGCACGCGCACGGATGCACTCTGCAGTCAGGCTCTGAGTTGTTAACCAAATTCAAAATACGGCCTCTGGGAGATCTGATTGGTTAATGATTGATGCTCAGGGGCAGAGTTGGGGGGGTAGGGGCTCTGTTTGGATTGTCAGGGATGCTTTCACATGGTTTGGTTATTCAGTGACCCAGTCTGATGTGTGATGTGTTCACCTGGCTCTCCAAAGTCCTCCTGATGGTCCTCTGTCATCCTTTCTCCGAACAGGAAGAACGTGGATGACTTCACCGGCCCCAGAGAGCGCAGCGACCTGGGTTTCATCACCTTTGACGTGTCGGCTGATATCCTTCACAGGGTTGCTAAAGAGTGCTTTAAAAATACTGGATTAGCTAGCTCTGGCCCACATCCTTTCCAGCTGTGCGGTGCTGTGTGAGGATGGAAAATAAGCGCTCACAGCTGGAACCGTTGTGGCTTCGGGGGAACAGCTCCTCTGTTTTAGCTCCTCTGTCGTGTTTGTCTTAACGCTCCCACATCTGCAGCCCGTCTTTGACTGGAACGTCAAACAGCTATTTCTCTACCTGTCGGCCGAGTACGCCACCAAGAGCAACGTAAGTCCCCCCCAGCAGGTGTTTTTATTTACTCCACCTCCCTTATGGACCACACATTCTGGGCTCTGCCTCAGAAGCCAGCCCTCTTTAAGATGCTGTTAGGTGTGCATCGTGAGTTGGTCTGTGGGCAGGATAAAGCTGTCTTGATAAAGCTGCTGTGGTCAAACTGAAGCACGCACACACAGAGCAGCACTTTCCTTCTGCCTGTGCCCCCCCCCCCAGACACAGGGCGAGCTCTGTCCTGAGGTGATGCTCAGCAGACCCAGAGGTTTGCCCTCTGTGGACCTGAGCAGGAGCCTTTCAAGCACACGCACAGCATCCCCTAAGCCTGACCCCCCGTCTGCCCCTTTAGCCCTGACCCCGTCAACCCAGACCTCGTTATCCCCTTTAGACCTGTTAGCCTCGACCCCGTTAGCCCCTTTAACCCTGACCCCGTCAACCCCTTTAGCCTAGACCCTGTCAACCCAGACCCTGTCTGCCCTTTTAGCCCTGACCCCATCAGCCCCTTTAGCCCAGACCATGTTAGCCCCTTTAGCCCTGACCCCCATTAGCCCCGACCCCTTTAGCCCTGACCCCATTAGCCCCTTTAGCCCAGACCCCGTCAACCCCTTTAGCCCAGACCCTGTTTGCCCCTTTAGCCCAGACCCCGTCAACCCCTTTAGCCCTGACCCCGTTAGCCCTGACCCCATCAACCCCTTTAGCCCAGACCCTGTTTGCCCCTGTAGCCCAGACCCCGTCAACCCCTTTAGCCCAGACCCTGTTTGCCCCTGTAGCCCAGATCCCGTCAACCCCTTTAGCCCAGACCTATTAGCCCTGACCCCGTCTGTCCCTTTTCGCCCTGACCACGTTAGCAGTGTTTGCCCTATCTGCCCCGTTAGCCCCTTTGACCCCGTCATCCCCCGTCAGCCTTAACCCCGTTAGCCCTGACCCCGTCTTGAGCCAGAGGCTCTCATGTCCTGAGCAGGGCCTGAGTGGAGGCAAAGCCCACCTTTTGTGTGCATGGCTGTGTTCCCCTTTTCCTGCACCTGAAGGCCCCACAGGGCTCTGCCGAGGCCTGAAGGCAACATGTCTGTGTGTCAGGCTCTGAACCAGGTGGTGCTGTGGGACAAGATCGTCCTCCGTGGAGAAAACACCAAGCTCAACCTCAGAGACATGAAATCCAAATACTTCTTCTTCGACGACGGGAACGGACTCAGGTGAGACTGACTCCCACAATGCACCTCCTCACTGTGGTTCTAAGAGGCCTCCTGCTGGAGCTTCTGATGGCCTTGTGTCACTCCCTCAGGGCCAATAAGAACATCACTCTGACGCTGTCCTGGAACGTGGTTCCCAACGCGGGGATCCTCCCGCTGGTGGCCGGGCGCGGATACGTCAGCCTGCCTTTCCCCGACTCGTACGAGGTCGCCAGGAGCTATTAGACACAGGAAGCCAGATGGATGTAAATGTTATTTGTAATAAAAATAAAAAATGGAACTTTGTCGTGAATTTCAATTCGGTTTCGTGAAGCTCAAAATCAACAAAGCTCCTTCAAAATCCTTCAGTGAGTAAAACGGACCAAAATCTATGTTAGAGAGCTTCCAAATGGATCCAGTGTAGTCATTCTGAACCAATACAACTCACCAGAACCAGGGAAAGTGGAGGCTGATGAGTCCCCTGGGGCTCGGGTCCGGCTGGGAGGCTCAGCAGGAGGTGACCGGCCCACATCTTTGTCCAGTATTCTGCTCATTCGTGTGCTGAGCTCTCTGAAGTAGAGCTCATAAAACAGATAAATAAGATTCCAGCATCACCAACAGTTCACTGTGGCTCTGAAACGGCGAAATTAAGTCTCATAAAGCATTGAAGCATTCCATCCAATTGGTTCCCTCATGTATCGGAGCTTGACGTTCTTCATTTGCTCTACTGCGCCACCAAGTGGACAATAAATGTAAAACGTGTATGAAGCTTTGAATGAATTAATCTATGATGTTTGTGATGCTGCCGTCCAGGATGACCCCAACTCTCCCCATTGGCTACTGGGATAGGCTCCATTTCCCCCCCGACCCCATTAGGGAATAAGCGGTAACGATAATGGACCGTTTGTGATGCGGTTTATACGGTGTCGGTCTTTATGATACAGTGACAGGGAAGCTTGAATAGATAACAAAAGTCCACAAAATGTCAGGGGGGAGGGGGGGATCCATTGCATTTCACTGGCCCTTATATTTCAAAGAGACCGCCAAACCCTGAACCACTTCCTGAATCAGTCACATGGTACACAGAATTCAGAGGGACACATCACCACTGTCTGGTACTAAAACGTGAGGAAATGAGGAACAACTGTCTGAGTGGAAGAAGGCCAGAGCCTCTCCGACAGAGCAGCTGGACCCAGACCCAGAAATGACCACCAGGAAGACCAACTACAAAACACCCGGTTTAATGGGAACCACTAAAAGAAAACGGCATCGAGTTGACCCCTCCCCCCCCGGCGAGCTCTAGTCCCTCACAGGAGCTCTCCCTCTGCCCCCAGTCACTCCTAAAGTCAGTGAATACAGCACCCAGGTGGGAGGAAAAGGGGGGGGGGGGCAAATGTGGTATTGTAGCTGCTACATGGTGGACCACAAAGTTCCAGCCACAGCCTCTGCCTGAGGGGGGGGCTTTAATGTGGGGTTCACCAGCCCCTTATGTCTGTGTCTGTGAGGGTCCGTTCACCCAGGAGCTAGCGCCCCAGCTCTGGACCACACTGGGAGGGGGAGGGGGGGCACATAACCGGACCTCCTCCCCTGTGGGGGTCCCTTCTGGGGCTAGTCCAGGCGCTGGATGAGCTTCTCCTCCATCATGCAGAACGGGGCCACGTGGGCCAGGTCCGAGATGAAGGCGTCGCAGGCCCGCCGGCTGATGCCCTTACAGCCCCGCAGGTCCAGCAGGGTCAGCGAGGACAGGCGCTTCAGGTAGGGCAGGCACGCGTCCGTCAGCTCGCTGCAGCCTGTGCACGCACACACACAAACACACACACACACACACACACACCAGGATCACCAGCATGACACAACCAGATCCAACCACCTAAAATGAGGGCGGATGAGGCCAGCTCTGGCCAGTAAGTATGGTCAGAGAGGCCCTGCTTCCTCCCTGCTTTGCTTGGGCTCAATCAGGTAAATCTATCATGTGACCACCAACGATGGGTTTAGTCCAATAAGAGGAGAACTCGTCTAGGGATGTCCCGATCCAGCTTTTTGCACTTTCGATCCGATCCCGGCCTATCAGAGCATGTGTTAAAGTTTAAAGTTATTTATCTACTTACTTAGTTGTCAGACTCATGTTGAACAGGGATTTACTCTGATAACTTAATGGTTAGGACACAGACCTGTGGGTTAGCAGATGCTAATGCTAATGCTTGTGTGGGATCAGACTTCAACTCATTGGCTGCCAAAGACGTCTGTAGACGTCAATTCAAAAACAACCGTTGACTGCTAAAGACATCTATAGACGTCTTTTATGTTTTTCAACGAGAGTGGCTTGGGGGACGATCTGCTAAAGCTTGTCCGTAAATATCGGCTTCTAGACAGAGTATGTAGTAACAAATTGACCCTCTAGGTGGCAGTGCCACTTTTGATGGGAGATGAGCATAGATTGTAGGCAAATAAGAAAAAGGTAACGGTTCGCTATGAGAGAACATGTCGCCGGTGAGACGCAAGTCGAGGAAGAACGGAATAAGGTAGAAACACATTTTTTTTCCTGATGAAAGAAGAGAGTCTACTCTTTCTTTTGGTGTGTTCGGTGTTTACATAGTCATAGCACAAACTATTCTGTGGCTCTTGAAAAATCAGTCAAAATGCTCAAAAAACTCTGGCAGTGAGCGACTCTCTGTTCTGAAAATGGCTGGCAGTCAATGAGTTAATGACATTATATAAGCTGTTAGGTATTATGGTTGGCAAGTACTTTTACTTTTAATACTTAAGTAGTTTTAAAAGCTTGTACTTTCTTACTTTTACTTAAGTAAAATAATAATGTGGTACTTTGACTTTTACTTGAGTAAATTTTTGTCTGTGTATTTGTACTTTTACTTAAGTACATTGTATGAGTACTTTCTCCACCACTGCCTGATATTTACGGACAAGCTTTAGCAGATCGTCCCCCAAGCCACTCTCGTTGAAAAACATAAAAGACGCCTATAGACGTCTTTGGCAGTCAACGGTTGTATTTGAATTGACGTCTATAGACGTCTTTGGCAGCCAATGAGTTAAAAAGAAAACTGGATCTGGAGTCTGGATCTGTATTTCTCTGATACGCATTTTTTTTGCAACTATCAGCAGCCGGTTCGTTCCAGATATCGGATCGGGACGAGCCTGAACTCGTCTCCAGCACACGGGCCTGTGGCCGGCTCGGAGTCCCACCTGCCAGCGTGAGCTCGGTCAGGTTGTTCCGGGTGTGGCTGCCGGCGGCGGCCAGCAGCGCCACGGAGGAGTCGGCGAGGTCCCGGCAGTGCGCCAGGTCCAGCAGCTCCAGCTGGGGCATGTGGCGCTGCAGCAGGCGCAGCGTGGCCTCGCCCACCTCCAGCCCCGACAGGTGGAGCGACACCATGTTCCTCAGCCGGCTGCGCGACGACTCCAGCCCTGCCGGACACGCGTTCGGACAGCGTCAGCGTCATCGTTTAGTGCAGGGATGTCAAAGTCAAACACACCGAGGGCCAAAAAAACTAATTTGCTACAAGCCGAGGGCCGGACTGGTTCAACGTTTATTAAAACATATCGAAACGATTGCACATAGACTATTGAACCAAGACCTAACACAGTGTATTCACACATATTCACAATGATTAAATTAACATGGCAATATTATGTAATGGCTCTGTCGGTAACTTCAAGGGAAAACATTTTCAACAGCCAAACAGCAAAAAATTAAATTGTTTTTAAAAACAAAATGTGTTTCTTAATATCAAGATAAATGCATAAATAAAAGTGCATGCATTATAAACTGAAACTGTATTATTGTGCTGCTCTATGATCTACCGATCACTGCTTTCAAATAGTAAAATTTAAAAAATAAATCAAATCAGTTGTATTCTTTCTCATGGCTCTTATCTGCAATTTTTCCTGAGTCCATTCAAAATAAATATAAATAAATAAAATACAAAAATTTATGGCACAATAAAGCTAGCCTTGACAGCAGCCTCACTTTGTGATTTAGCATATGTGAACATAGCTTGTCTGGACTAAAGGGCTCGTTCTGTGTGCCGCTACTCACCAGGAGGGCAGACGATCTCTTTGATCTGGGCGTCTTTGACCCCGTCACACCAGCGCAGGTCCAGCAGCCTCAGCTGGGGCAGAGTGGGGGAGACCAGGGCGGCCAGGCTGGCCCAGGGCAGACCGGTCAGCCTCAGCTCCCTCAGACCTGAGGACACACAGAGCGGCACAGGGCTGAGCAGGGGCCTGGGGGGGGCTAGGGGAATCAGTGTTCTCAGGGTATGAAATTCGTGGGAATCTGGTTTTAGCCAGCAGGGCCAACAGCTCTGAAAAGTAGTTAGCCCCGACCAAAAGCAGCCCGATAAGTTCTACTCTATCTGTGGGCTCCAGCAGACTAAATCCGAGTATTTCTCTGTAGCCTTGCGTCACTCCGCGTCATATTCAGAAATAAAAATTAAGAAAATGGTCCATAAGCAGATCTCCTGGAACGCAGTGGTCGCTGTGCAATAATATAATATTATTAAAAACGTTTTCAGTTCCTCTCGCTTGGCGGCGCAACCACGTCATGCCTCCAACGATTGCATAGAAATTATGATAAACTGCAGGATAACATGGAGGACGATGGATTTCAAACAAAAACTTTTTTTTTGTTGTTGGTTCCCTGGTTATTTTGCATGCATTTTATATAAAAACTTTATTTTACAACCCGTCCGACCCCACGGAGCTGAGAGCACAACGGGCTGACAGCTTCTGATTTTCTCACACCGGACGGTGAACGGTCCATCGGTCATTCGGTACCCTGGGTGTCTGGGTTACCTGGGAGTCTGGTGAGCAGGCAGTTGAGCTGCCTCTGGGCCAGGGGGGTCCAGGACAGGTCCAGGGAGGTGGGCTGGCGCTTGACGATGCCGGCCAGGGCCTGGTTGCTGAGCGGGCTGCAGCGGCTCACGTCGATGTGGCTCCACAGACGTTTGTCGCAGCTCCTGCAGACAGAGGCGGCTCTCAGAGGATGGACACACACACACACACACACACACATACACACACAAACACACACAGACAGAGCGGCGGGGGGTGGGGCACGTACCACTTGTACCAGGCCTTGCACACCGTCATGCAGGCCAGCAGCTCGGCCCGGCTCAGGTGTCTGAACACGGACACCCACACCTCCTTCTCCCCCCCTCGGTCGCTGCCCACGTCTTTGAAGGAGGGCAGGGACAGCAGGGGGGGGGGACAGGCCCGAGGAAGCCGGGGCCTCCTCTTCTTCCGAAGAAGCGGAGTGAGCTCTCCGTCCTCTGTCCCCGTGGATACCCCGCAGACGAGGCCTGCGAGCAGAAAGGCCACACAGAGGGAGGGGTCAGCACACAGGGTCAGGGATCCAGGACCCTGAGGACAGCCGAGCCTCAGAGAATCATGTACAAAGTATGGTTGTCAAAAGTATCGATACTCAAAAAAGTATCGATACTAAAACGTTGTATCCGAATATGATACTCATTTGAAAAAGTATCGATACCCCCTCCCGCCCATCTCTCCGTTTTATTTATTTATTTACATTGTTTATGATCATTAACGTGACGTTAGCTTTGAATTGCTAGCTGCGGCTAATGGCTAACTATAACCGGCCAACATTAATGCAGGCCATCGGCCACGATAACATCAGTGATAGATAAGTTCGAAACCAAAGTCACTAACCTGTCGAAATTCAGTTACATTTTGGGGTCTTTGTTTTTATCCTTGTGGTATCGAAAATGGTATAAAAGATCGAATATTTTTGCGAGTATCGGTATTGAGTTTAACATTTTAGTATCGTGTCAACCCTAGTACAAACAGCTCCAGGCCCCCCCGATGGGTTGCCCTGCTCTCCATCCTGAGTCATACCTGCCGGGGCCTCTGGGAGTCAGCGCATCAGCCGAGAAGTCTCCGGTCCGGAGCCGTGAGGGTTTGGACAGCGCGGCCTTCTTCTGGACGAAGCCCTGCTGGGCGGCTCCCCCGGCGGCCGGCCTCGGACCCATGGCCGCCTCCAGCTTTGGGACTATGGAGCCTGGCGGGCAGGAGGATAGTCAGAATGTGATGTGGCTTCCCGGGAAGCTCTGCCTGACCCCTCCCAATCGCCCCCCTGGACTCACCGGACGTCCGGTGGGCTCGGTGGGGCTGCTGCAGCGTGACGGTCAGGTAGGAGCCGCTCAGCAGCTCGTCGTTCAGGTCGGACACCAGCAGCACGGGCGGCTCCGGGTCCGAGTCCCAGCGCCCGTCCTCCTCCCCGTCGTCCTCCTCCGGCCGGTCCTCGTCCTCCTCCATGTCCTCCTCCTCGGGGTCAAAGTCCTGGCCCTCGCTGTCCTCGTCCTCGTCCTCCTCGTAGTCGCCCCGCCGCCGCCTCCGGTGGCGCCGGTGCAGCTGCTCCCTCTCCCCCTCGCTGTCCCCCTCCTCTTCCTCGTCGTCCTCATCGTCGTCGTCTTCATCATCATCATCGTCGTCGTCGTCATCGTCTTCGTCGTCCTCATCCGACTCCTCCGAGTCGTCCCCCCGGCGCTGCATCCGGGAGCCCCCCCGCAGCCGCACGCCGCGGCCCCGGCGCCCGGCCTCCCGCGCGCCCATCCCCCGCTTCAGCCGGAGGAGGGAGGCGGAGCCGTGGGCCAGCAGGCCCCCCCGGCTGCCCCGGTGGGATGAGCCCCCCCGCAGCAGGCCCCTGCGGCCGGCCCCGAAGGGCCTGCGGGAGGAGTGGCCCCCTCCCCGGACGGGCAGCATCATCCTCCGCCGCTGAGAGCCTGAGGAGAGCGACAGATCGTGAGGAGACGGTTTTTTTTTTTTTCCCCACATCGGGGGGCTTTCGGCGGCCCTCGGGTCAGACCTTCGTCCTCGCCGTCGCTGGCCGAGTCCTCGCCGTCGCGGCTGTGCAGGTGCCGGCGGTAAATCTTTGCCATCCGGGCATCCAGCAGGGAGGAGGACTTCCTCTTCTGCGGACCAAAGGAGGAGAGGAGCATTAACTCATTGGGTGCCAAAGACGTGTATAGACGTCTTTTATGTTTTTCAACGAGAGTGGCTTGGGGGACGATCTGCTAAAGCTTGTCCGTAAATATCGGCTTCTAGACAGAGTATGTAGTAACAAATTGACCCTCTAGGTGGCAGTGCCACTTTTGATGAGAGATGAGCATAGATTGTAGGCAAATAAGAAAAAGGTAACGGTTCGATATGAGAGAACATGTCGCCGGTGAGACGCAAGTCGAGGAAGAACGGAATAAGGTAGAAACTATTTTTTTTCCTGATGAAAGAAGAGAGTCTACTCTTTCTTTTGGTGTGTTCGGTGTTTACATAGTCATAGCACAAACTATTCTGTGGCTCTTGAAAAAAATGCTCAAAAAACTCTGGCAGTATGGGACTCTCTGTTCTGAAAATGGCTGGCAGTCAATGAGTTAAAAAATAAAGAAAAACACTGAACACAGAGGAAAGAGAAGCCACATGAGGTGAGCAAACACTCACCAGTGGAAGACTCTCACTCCTCTCGCCTTTGGTCTGTGGGGGCGGCAGAGGGAAAGAGTTATAGATACATAAGAGTTACAGTTACATCCTACATAAAGCCTTTACACTGGCCCCCGTTCGTATGTAGCTCACGTTGCCATGGCGGCAGAACAACATGAGGCTACCAAATAGCGGATGGCCATCGAGGGGCGGGGCTTACCTCTCGGTCGGTGACCCCCTGGATGCACTTGGGGCACTCCCAGCAGCTGGGCAGGTCTTTGTTCACCACTCCTTCCCCCTGGACCTGCAGGAGCAGCCACAGCAGCCCGTCACAACCGGCCCCGCCCGGCGCCACGCGGCACCGAGGGGCCCGGGGGGGCGGGGAGAACGCCACCCTGGTGCCCACCAACGGGGTTCAGGAGCTGGACGTTATCCTTCTGTGGCCTTGCTGACAATCAGCCCATTCTTACGGACTGTCCTAAGTCTGAATCTTGACTCCTAAAAATGGCGTTGGAGGGGAGGCGGGACCGTGAGTGGGCTCTGTAGGCATGCTGTCTTTTCCGGGGAGCTTTGGCACTAGAGAGCCCAGTGAGGCCTCGTCCCAGAACCCAGCTCCCTGTCTGAAAGCAAAGCCACAGGATCAACAGCCTGGAAGCAGACGGCATTGTCCAGTCTGAGGCACGGAGGGGGCCGCGTCATGCTGTGGGCCCTTGCGGTCAAATCTGGGCGAGGAAAACCCCTTCAGAAAGGGAAACGTTGTCCCATCTCCTCTCAATTTGTAAATATGCCATTTCTAGCTCTACACGGTCTGAAACTAAAGACGGATCGCGTTGGGGTGCATCTCTTTGAGCCGGGCAGCGGACGTCCAGGAGGAGGCGCCTTCGGCCCACACAGCCAGCAATCGGGGGAGGGATTGAGGGAGGCAGAGCGGGGGAAGTACCGTGAGGCAGGCAGGGTGGACGATCTGGGCGCAGTTGGAGCACTCCATCAGCGTCAGGGAGGGGTCTCCGGTCTCCTCCTGGTTGGGCTCCTTACAGATCTCACACACTGCTGAGAGGGGAAGGCCCGGCTGGACGAGCAAAATACACACACACACACACGCACTCGGTTAGGGTCGGAGATAAAATCACACTCCAAAAAACATCATCTCATCATCTGTATCTGGGGCTTCCTGGGTGACTCTGGGGGGGAAAACATGGCTCGCTTCACATGAATGATTAGCACTGAATGTTTCAGAGAAAGCTCAAGAAGTGGCGCCCCTTTCTGGGGATTCTGCAGTACTGCATAATGTACATATGTCTAAGTCCCTGTTTTAAAAGTGGATGTAGTAAGAGAAGGCGGGCATTAAAAAAAAAATGTGGACATTAAAGGTAAATGTTGAATCTGATCCTAACTATGACAACAGGTATTTCAAATAATTCTATACAAGCATTTAGCTGTTTTTTCAGCTTTACGCTAGCCGCTGTATATTGGGATTACGTTTGATTTACCATAACGGTACCAGTTTCTTTCACGCGTTTACTAAAGCAAGGAAAAGCTCCCCTCCACTACTTGATAAAAATGCTACACTACCTATTAAACACTGTTGTTTTTAAAAGATAAACTGTGTCAGGAAAACACTACGTTACTGACATTAGCTGGAAAAATAATAAAACAGCTGTTTATTTATTTTGGGAGTGAACGGAGTCGTCACAACGCTGGTTTGTGTTCTGTTAATAAAGTCTCACTGATAATTTGACTGTTTAGTTGACATTCTGGTGGATGCTAACGCAGCCCAGCCTCTACTGGAGCTTCTGCTCTGTGCGCCTTATAATGCGGTGCGCCTTATACGTGGGAAAAACTTTGGAATAGGCCAGTCATTGAAGGTGCAGTTTATAACCCAGTGCGCCCTATAGTGCAGAAAATACTGTAGATACAGTCTGAGGGGCTGAGGTTTGTCTGGAGCTGACCTAAGAAGAGGCCCGGCTGCTTACCGAGAGGCACTGCCGCAGCACGCAGGTCTGCTTGAGCTTCCCCGGCCCCCCGAACTTCTTCATGTCCCTGCAGAAGTTGCAGTCCCCGCACTCGGGTCTCATGCAGGCCTCGCAGCGCTTGCACCTGACCCGCCGCCGCCGCAGCACCGACATGGAGGAGGCCGGCTTCTGGGGCCGCGGGACGATGGGCGTGGAGGCCAGCTTGGGCCGGGCCGGCGGCGGGGGAGGAGGGGGGGGCTGGTACCACGAGGGCTGGGGGGAGAAGAGCGGACAGTGGTCAGTACAGATGATCCAGAGGACGGCGGCCCGTCTGCTCTTCAATCAGCCCGGAAAGTCTCACGTCACCCCTCGGTTACCCCTGGTTACCCCCGGTTACCGCTGGTTACCGCTCAGATTCCAGTCCCTGATGTCTACAAAGTGCTTAAGGGTATGGCTCCTGTCTACCTGAACCCTCTCAGAAGTCCCAGCTCGTCCCTCCGGTCATCAGCGGGTTGTTGTCCAGCAGAGCTGCACAACGTTAAGATGATCAGACTGTTTTCAGCTATCGTTCCAAGATGAAGGAAGGACCTACCAGCCTACCAGAGCAGCAGGTCCCTGTCTGTCTCCATAAGCTCCTACAGACCCCCCTCTTCACAGAGCAGCTCCTATCCTGACTCCTCCCCAGACCTCTGGACCCTCTGCTCCTCTTTCTGAGCTTCCCTCTATCTCCTCCTGTCTCCACTGACTCTGACTGGGGGTTTTCCTCCAGAGAACCGACCGTCAGACTGATGAGAACTGGAACATTGGGTCTACTTTGTGAGTTGCTTTGGATAAAAGCATCTAAATGCAGAAACATAAACAGAAAAGGCCACAAAAAACAGCTTTAAAGCCCTAAAAAAAACGCTTTAAAGCCCCAAAAACCGGCTTTAAGATGGTGGAACGACCTACCAGGTGCTACAAGAACAGCAGGTCCCTGTCTGTCTTTTCCTCTAGAGATCCTATGATAGCTGGAACATTATGTCCACTTTATAAGTCGCTTTAGATAAAAGCGTCCAAATGCAGAAACAAATAAACATCCTGTATCCACCTGCACAACAGCAGCCAGAGCCTGAGACATTCAGGCCGGCAGGCGGTCCCAAACCCCCACGAAACCCCATCAAAGCAAACTACGTCCCCCTGAAGAGGTTCCCGAGTTAGACACACGGTTAAAGCCAGAGGCTAGTTACCCGCTTTGGCCACTTGATGATGGGTTTTCCGGTGTAGGAGAGTTTGGGGGTGTCGTTGGCGTGCTCCTTCAGGAGGGCCTGCGGCAGAGGGAGGAGAGGAAGCTACAGCTCAGTTCCTGGTGGAGCCTAAAGCAGCAGCAGCACAGCGGCACGGCGGAGGCGCTACCTTAATGTGGGTCGTGAGCGCCGAGGCGTTCTGGATCCCCGCCGGGACACACTTCTTGCTGGACGGCAGCGCCTCCAGTTTCCCCAGCAGGTTACAGAGCCCCTCCAGCTCCAGGGGGGTCAGGTAGACTTTCACATCAGCCCCTGGAGGCTCCTCGTCCTCGTCTTCCTCCTCCTCCTCCTCCTGCTGCTCCGTCCCCAGCTCCCCGACTGCGTCCGGGCCGGAGGGTTGCTTCAGGCCTTCCACGAGAACAGAGAGCCATTCACGTCAACGAGCTTCTGACCACAGGATCCACCCCGGCCACCCATGGTTAACGCCCTAATGCTGACAGTCCTCTGTCCCGAAAGGGGGGACTTTTAGGTCTGTGGAGTAGGGACCTCCCGATCCAGCTTTTTTCACTTCCGATACGATACCGGCCAGTACTGATCCCATCTTATCAGAGCCTGTGTTAAAGTTTAAAGTTATTTAGCTTACTTACTTAGTTGTCAGACTCATGTTGCACAGGGATTTACTCTGATAACAACTTAATGATTAGGACACAGACCTGTGGGTTAGGAGATGCTAATGCTAATGGTCGTGTGGGATCGGACTTCTTAAAAAAAACTGGATCGGGAGTCTGTATTTGCATTCTCTCATGTCGGCCGATACGCAGTTTTTTGCAAATATCGGCGGCCGATCCGCAGTCAGCCAATGGGAACAGCTTCTGCTGCTGCCGGCTCTGTCCGTACGTACCGATGCCCAGCGAGTGCTTCTGGAAGTCGGGGGTGAGGTAGGAGGTCCGGGTCAGGCTGAAGACGTAGCGCTCCAGCACGTACCAGCACATCTCGTAGAAGAAGGGGTAGCGGAACTTGACTGGTACCTGCATACGGGAGGAGAGCAGAGCGGTGAGGTCCTTCGGCCGCCGAATCTCCGCCCTGAACCCCACCACCCCCCAAAAGCTGTCGGCTGGACTCGTACCCGCGTCCTGTCCTCTATGTTACAGATGCTGAGCTGCATGGGGATGTTGAAGCTGTGCAGGAAGTTTCCTCCGAACACCATGGAGTCCACCGGGGTGTAGACGGCATGAATCCAGCCTGAGGGCCGACACACACAGAATAATGCCATCACACCCATCTCTGAGAGCCCTCAGCATCAGTGTGTGTGTGTGTGTGTGTGTGTCCAGTACCTGACGGGATGATGAAGGTCCAGCCCTGCTTCAGCTCAATCCTCTGGCAGTCGGAGGCCCGGTCCCCCAGGAAAACGTCCCCCTGTTTCCCCGACAGCACCCAGTTCTCGTACAGCTCCAGGTTGGGGTGCGTCGGGGGCATGAGCCAGAACACCTGGAGACACAAATGGCCGCCGTCAGCACAAACCAGGGACCCGGCTGCCTCTGCGAGGGCCCGGACCGGACCGTGCTCCCACCTTGCTCCCCCTGAGGATGTGGTACCACACGGAGGTGCCTCCGAAGTCGATGTGGAAGTCGGTGTAGCAGCCCTGGACGCTCATCAGGCAGTACCTGTGGGGAGAGCGGGGTCAGCCGGGTCAGCCCTGCCTAAGGCGTGGCCCGACCCTTGACCGGCGTGGGGCCCTTACTTCTGGACTTTGGGATACTGCATGTCGGTGATGGAGTTGGTGGCGTCCCGCTGCCTCTCCTTCAGATGTCGGGGCCACATGTTGTCCACCCAGTCGATGAGGTCCACCTGAGGGGGGGGGGGGGAGACAGCTGCTCACACTGCGGCCCACTGAACAGTGCTCGTGACTCAGCGTGTGCACGTACGGTGGCGGGCCTCCGGACCAGGTTCTCCAGCTTGGTGTGGCTGAACTCCAGGCTGATGACGTTGTAGAGCTTCTCCCTCTGAGACGGGGGCGTCTCGTAGTAGCGAGTCCACTGGGCCATGGACATCTCCGTTCCCTTCTGAGTGCTCACGTCCATCACGTCGATCATTCTCCTGCTTCCTGTGGGTGGGGCGAGGGGGGTTATAAAACCAACACCAACAAACCCAGATTGACGAAAGAATTTGGTATATATGTGAAACTGTGTAATATGTGAATTGGTTTGATTTGTATTATTATTTCTTGGCAGTTTTTTATTTATTTATTTACTTATTTGTTTTTCTTTCCACTTTTCTAAATAAGTTGTAAACATTTTTTTTAAATAATACGTCTTTTAGATTACAGTTAATATCATTTTCCATAATATATATTGTTTTGTTTTTATTTTAACGAGACTAAAGTTATAGTGTTCTTCCAAAATTGAAAACCTCAAAATAAAGTCTTCCAAAATAAATAAATAAAAACAGCTTCATAGCAAACAGTGACTTCAAGTTAAAAGCTTTCTCCCACGATTGTACAGGAAGCCTTTGGCCGGTGGATGGACTTTCGACACACAATTTAACAACACTGAGCAGAGCAGATGGCGCAACCTTACCGACAAACATCTTGACCTCGTTGACGCTGAAGTCGGGGTCAGGCATCCTACAGGAGCACAGAGGGTGGGGGGGTCAGGTGCTTCATTTTTATGGCGGTATATTTCTAAAAATATGAAACTGAAAATAAAGATGGCTCCTACTGTAGTCCCAGTCCCTCGGGCTTCTCAAAGACGATGGGGTCCCTCAGGCCACTTTTCTGGACGTACTCGTAGGAGAAGTCTGAACACATTTAAAAAATAAAAAAAAAGGACAACGGATCAGTCCGCACATCAGGCATCACACATCCAGATGTGGCCCCATCGGACCCCCCTCCTCCTACCTCCTCCCGCCATGCGGACCACCCGGTCCGAAGTGAACCTCTGGCTGGTGACTTTCTCCTCCAGGTCGAACGTCCTCCTGCCCTCGATCTCCTCGTCCGAGATGCCGTCGTCATGGTAACGCCGCCGAGTGCCCGCCCTCTGCGGCGTCGGGACAGAATGGGAGGCGTAAAGGGGGGCACGCAAAGGCACCTAACCACCCACCCACCCCCGTGCTCCACTCCATCATCAGTTTTAAAAAAAAAAGCCCCTGCCCCAAAGGGCCCCCCCCTCCAGCTACAGTTATAAGTGGGTATATAAACATGGAAAAGCAGAGGCTTCAAAGCTCCTGTCCCTGTGAATCCACTAGAGAAAAATAACAAACCCTTCCCCAAAAATCCCCACTAAAGCTCATCATGCTGCTGGTGGAAGGAAAGACTTCCAGTAGCTTCTTCATGCCCCCTCCAGCCAGACCAGCCAGCCGGGATGGGCTCCCCTCTGGGGAGGTTGGGGGGGACACTTATTGACAGCACACCGGGTGCTTCCGGTGGCCGGTTCGTCCAACAGTTTCATCCAACTAAGACTAAACAGCAGTCGTATGTAGCTCCCAGCACACTTACCAGCCTTTTGCTGTACCGGGGCTTTGAAAGGTCCATGTTCGGAGGAGGAAACAAGAGAACCACAACCGGAACCGAGAGCCTCGCTAACCCGCGCCGTGGCGCCACATGACTGTTTGATAGTAAACAGAGCCGAGAGGAGGAGGCGGCGGCCCGTTTCCAGCTCAAAAGTTTGAAAAGTCGCCGAAAGACACCGCTAGTCCACCGTAAACAGACACGGCTCCGACTAGGAGCTGCTTTCACACTGGGGCTAACTTACAACATGCATGCTAGCTTTTACATCCGATAAAAAAAGTTGTTTGTATTTTTTTTAAATCAAGACCGTCGGAAAAAAAACAGCTTTGTTCCACATCTCCAGTGATTAAAGTGAAGCTTTACAAATAATGTCAGACTCACAGACTTGTTTATGGCAACACAAACTTCAACAATAGTTCGGGTTAGACTACAAAAGTCAGCTATGCTCAGCTACCATAAAACTACAAAAAAAACAACCGCTTTGTTGCTTCGAGACTGAATAACTGCTAAACAGCCGCCATTTTCTGTCCGGGTAGAAATTCCACTAACGCCCGCCCACAAACACCGTGTGAACCAATCACAGTCGGCGCTGCTGGCTGCTCATTGGACGACAGCGATATCACTCGACGTAACACAAATGCTAGCGGCGGTTGGACAAGAGCACCCAATAGGAGCCAAAAGGAGACGAAAAGCAACCAATAATAGCACGTTGATGAAAATAGCTCACACCTCATTGGTTGATCCCTTCCACCAGATTAAGAAGTGGACGAACAAACGTTCAGTCAAGGAAACTAGCCAATCGCGTCGTGGTTAGACGCGCTAGCTACCGCCCATTAACAATGGAGCTAGTAATTAGTCGGGAATAAGCCAAATTAGGTCAAATTTCCACCATTGACGGTTCTTACCCCCATAGCCGAAAAGATCCAACCGCGTCGGTTCAACTTGGGAAATCGGACATGTGTAACGCCCTCTGTGAGATGTCACCTCTCGAAACGCTCACATCGCACTCGCACGCTTTGTACACCTCAATTCAACAAGGAAGTGTCCGCAGCGCCATACATGGAAGTGCACCTTGGCCCAGCTGACGCCGATTGGCTGACGAACTCCATGTGACGCCTCTGATTGGCCAGGAAGACTTGTCTTTCAAACGCGTACGTCCAGACTACGGCGAGCGAGAAGACGTTTATCCGCCATGGGAGCTAAATTCGGCCACGCACTCGTACAGAAAACAATGAGCAGACCGGGGCAGGGATACGGAACAGATTGTTTTTATTTTGTAAACAAACGGACAGAGCTAAACAGCAACCCGCTCCCTGCTACTCGGCTACAGATCACTGGCTTTAATCAGAAAATCACACTACCTAATGGCAACCATGAGCTCAGAAACTAGTGCTCCATCAGTCTTCCACATTTCCAGCCTGCTCCCTTTGAGTCCATCCGTATCACCCAATGTCTTCATTTGAATCATTTTTAGATTGGCTGTTTGTAATGTAACAACTCCTGTTTGAAACCTTGAATGCAGGAAGTCCAGCAGGAGCTGCTTCCCACAAAGGGGGTTGAGTTATTCTTATCTTTACATTCCAGGGACAAAGCCTGGAACTGGGATGATTTGGATCCAAAGAAGGAGGGTGCAAATGAGGAAGAATAATCAGAAACAAAGCAGGGTTCACAACCTGATGAACCTCTTTGGAGATACAGCAGTACTGTAAAAAAAAAAAAAAAAAAAAAAAACGGTGTAAAACACAAATATAAAAAAAATGAAGTAATCTTTGTTTTCAACGAGAACAAAACTCAACACCTAAAGCAAGCAGTAAGAGCTTAAAGGCTGAAGTCAAATAAATCAGGGCTGTTTTTTTCCCTTTTCATTTCTTATCTCACATTCAACTATAAATATTCTTGGGAATTCTATTACCATTTTGACCTCGTTCTATTACATTTTCCTTTATTTCTATTGGGATTTTTTTTTACCAGTATTTCGTCTAGAGTTTAACAGAAAAACTACATTATTTAAGATTAAGCCAGAGAAACATATTTGCCCTCCAAAGACAGTTTGAGTAATAATTAAAAATGACCCTCATTCCTCAGTGAATTGAAAACTTCTTTGGATAAAGGCCCGTACGAGCCTCATAGCGGGTGCAGAATCCACAGTGTCTGGCTGGTGATGGTCTGAGAACAGGCACAGTATGCTTCCGTATCCGAGCACACGCAGCAGACATTTGGACCAAAGAGCGGTCAGTGGGGTCCAGACTCCACGGTGAGCTGGACGGCCTTATTTCACCTCACTGTCCCTACCACCATCAGCACGTTCCTCCAGGAAAACAGAAAAAAAATTAGCTTTTTTCATTGTTTCTGCTCCCGTTCTGGAGCCCCGGCTGTGAATGAAGGGAGACCCAGCTGCTTCGGAAACGCAGAAAAAGGATTTTGGCTCCCGTGGAAAGGAGAACTAAAGCTGCAACTGAGCTCAAACGGGGCAGCGATCTGGTTCTGAGCGGCGGTGGAAGGCGAGCCGGGAGTTTGTTGCTGGTCGAACATGCTGCAGGTGGAGCTCTCTAAAGTACACACTCCTACATGTACACACCAAGATCACTAAGAGATTCTGGGCCTAATGCCATTATCCCCGCCCCCCCCCCTTAAAACTGCAACTGTCATAGTGTGGAAGTCAGAGCCAAAGATGAAAGACACATTTTCATATCAAATATATTTTACATTTTTATGTTAAAATGAGCTACTTTCTTCCTCTTCTCTAAAATCATTCATCTGTTATTTGTTCAAACCTTAAATGGGCATGTATGACTTGGGTTACCCGTCTGTTGGCTAAGACTGAGCTTGTCTCTCATCAAATGGCTCTCTGAACTCTGCTGTACACGGATGCTGACACCAACCAGCCTACGAAAGAATTCAAATGAAAGTGTAAATATTCTGGAGATAACGGTGAGGGTCACTGGAACTGACCTGAAGTCCGGAAACTCTGGCAGTACTAAGAAAAATGGCAGAAACTAATCCAAAATACCAGAGGATGAACGTGTTGTCTTTCTATCCATTAACTGAAAAGATACGAAACCTCGCCCCCCAAACAAACACACAAGGGGAGGTCTGTCCTGACCCAGCTGTGGACCCCGCTGGTGGGGGCCTCCCTATTTGATGAAGCTGTAGAGAAATGAGCCGACGATAAGGGCCAGAATCACACAGCAGCAGAAGATCATCATTTGTTTCTGGAAAACAGAGGAGGGGTGAAAGAGGGAGAAAAGAAGAGGTGATGTTACTATAAATAAAACACTTCTAGGCAAATACAGACTGCGTCAGACCAGAGATCCCCAACAGAGACAGAGTAGCTTTAGCTTCCTTTACCCTGTGGAACCATTCCAGGGACCTGTCAGTGTCCTGATGTCCACTAATCATTGAGGAAGAGGTCCCTCAAAAAGTTGGGGTGCAGTTTGATCTAAAGTAAGGGAGGGCAGTTCCAGGCCTCTTTGGGCCTCTTTAGACTTCTTTGGTCCTCTTCTTTTGGCCTCTTTGGTCCTCTGTAGCTTTCTTTGGGCTGCTGTCCTGCAGGTTTCTGAGGTCTCTACAGACCTCATTCCCATTAACACAACCTCAGCAGGCCTGTTCAAAGTTTGAGCATCTTTAGAAGAGGTCAGTTTGATCTAGATCAGGTGTGTAGAAGCAGGAAACCTCTAAAACCTACAGGACGGTGACCCAAATTGGCCTGGAGCGGCCAACATCTACTCAAAATGAATAAATCTCACACACTTAGTACTCCAGAAAATCAAAAGTAAGACATTTGAGTGACGTATTTCGCTATCGGCCCTGGAACTGGAAACCTGCGTCCAGATGTTTGACCCCTGAAAACATCTGAGTTGCAACACTCCTCTTTAAAACGGAAATGGACAAGAGTCCTCTCCTCTTTTCCAGATGTTACTGACAGATTATAGAGAGAACCCCTCCCAGTTATTACGAGCCTGGATTTTATGGGTTTTCTGTCTCTAATGGTGGATCACTGTCATATCTCGTGTCGTTTTTCTGCCTTGAGTGAATGTTAAAACTGAAACCTCTGATAAAATCCAAGGACGGCAAAGCGAGCTTACTGTGAAGCAGCTTTGAACCCCCAAAACACAGCACAGGAACGTAGATGAGGACGTGGAGCTCAGCCTCTGTACAGAGCCTGTGGACTCTGAAGAAAGCCAGCCCTCGTTCAGAGGCCCTTTGCAGCACAACTCCCAAACTCTATGCCCACTTTTCAGTCTCCACACAGCCAAATAAAGGCCATTAGCATCCCATAAACCAATAAACAAACAAACGAATAGCCTAGAGGGGACAGAAATAAGGAGGAATACATGAATTATAACTAAAGATGTGATCAACTAAACGGAAAGAACTAAATCAAAGGATAAGGAGCAGAGAGAATAAAACTAAATTAATTTTAAAATAAAACTGATGACTCCAAACAGACAGAAAGGCTAAAGGAGGTAAATCTGTGCCTTGATCCAAGAAAATCCTGGAACCTCAGTGTGTGGGATGGTGAGGCCAGCTCATTTATGAACCTCTAAAGACCTTAAAACAGATATAAAGTCCATTTATGAACCTCTAAAAACCTCAAAACAGACAGGAAGTCACTTTAGGAACCTCTTAAGACCTTCATACAAACACAAAGTCCATTTCTGAACCTCTAAAAACTTTCAAACAGACACAAAGTCCATTTATGAACCACTGAAAACCCTAAAACAGACAGGAAGTCACTTTGGGAATCCCTAAAAACCTTCAGACACAAAATCACTTTAGGGAACCTCTACAAACCTCCAAACAGAAACAAAGTCCATTTCAGAACCTCTAAAAAACTCAAAACAGAAACAAAGTCCCTTCATGAACCTCTACAGACCTAAAACAGACACAATGTCCATTTCTGAACCTCTAAAAACCTTCAAACAGAAACAAAGTCCCTTTATGAACCTTTAAAAACCTTCAAACAGACAAGGAGTCCACTTCTGAACCTCTAAAGACCTTCAAACAGGCAGGAAGACACTTTAGGGACCTCTAAAAAAAGTTCAAACAGACACAAAGTCCACTTTTGCTCCCCCGTCTCCTGTCAGAGGACCAGAGCAACAGCAGAGCAGCAGATACCTCCAACAGTGAGGCCGAGTAGTTACAGAAGTTACTTTGTCCGAGGTCACCCTGTGTTTATGCCCTCTGAAGCAGGACAGCAAAGTTAGGACAGCAAAGGGCCTCCTTCCTCCACCAGACTCCAGCAGACTCCACCAGACTCCACCAAACTCCAGCAGACTCCACCAGACTCCAGCAGACTCCACCAGACTCCACCAGACTCCACCAGACTCCACCAGACTCCACCAGACTCCCCCAGACTCCAGCAGACTCCACCAGACTTCACCAGACTCCACCAGATTCCACCAGATTCCAGCAGACTCCACCAGACTCCAGCGGACTCCACCAGACTCCACCGAACTTCACCATACTCCACCGAACCCTACCAGACTCCACCAGACTCCTCCAGGATCCAGCAGACTCCACTAGACTCCACCAGAATCCACCAGACTCCAGCAGACTCCAGCGGACTCCACCAGATTTCACCAGACTCCACCAGACTCCACCAGACTCCAGCAGACTCCACCAGACTCCACCAGACTCCACCAGACTCCACCAGACTCCACCAGATTCCACCAGACTCCACCAGACTCCACCAGGCACCACCAGACTCCACCAGACTCCACCAGACTCCACCAGATTCCAGCAGACTCCAGCAGACTCCACCAGACTCCACCGTGCTTCACCAGACTCCACCAAACTCCATCAGACTCCACCAGACTTCACCAGACTCCACCAGACTCCAC